AAATCACCGCCACCTCCCGTCATAAAAGCACGTTGTGAAACTAATGACCTTAACAGTTAATGCGCCCGGAATCATCAATCAATCGGTTAGGTTGATCGGTGAATGAAGCGCCATTGGACGTATGCAAGAACAAGAATGCACGTACGCATGGCGTTTGCAAGAGCCATTGGAAATACTTGGAACAATTTGAAGGAAAACCAGAATGCCACGCGAAATCCTGTAATTTCCAAATCTGTACCACTCCGATATACCTAGGGCGGAACTGGAGTTGAAATTTGGACTTCCCGCAGCGAAAGGCGAGTTCGCTGTCCGTGCGCCACCAGTACTCCACGGAAAACTGTTGACCGTCGTCGGACAAGTATTATTTCATTGATGACTGAACGCCTTACTGAAACCAAACACTGGACATTATCAATTTCAATTTTTATTAATATTGCAACGTGGACTTAAAATGAATGCAATAGATCGTGGGATATTTTGTTTCCGAACCAACAAAAGTCATCTCTAAGGTGACAAGCAGCTTCTATGACTCTGGTTCCAACAAGGGCCAGATTGCATCCATATTACTCCCCAGTGTGCATCATAGGAAGCACTAATGACATGGATGACTAGTGCTCACTTTTGCGTATGAGCACGTGTAAAGCGTTGCAGCTGTTTTCAAAAAAAAGAAAGGAAGAAAGGAAGAAAGGAAGAAAGGAAGAAAGGAAGAAAGGGAGAAAGGAAGAAAGGGAGAAAGGGAGAAAGGAAGAAAGGAAGAAAGGGAGAAAGGAAGAAAGGAAGAAAGGAAGAAAGGAAGAAAGGAAGAAAGGAAGAAAGGAAGAAAGGAAGAAAGAAAGAAAGAAAGAAAGAAAGGAAGAAAGGAAGAAAGGAAGAAAGGAAGAAAGAAAGAAAGAAAGAAAGGAAGAAAGAAAGGAAGAAAGGAAGAAAGAAAGAAAGGAATGTAGAAAGTAAGAAAGGTAGAAAGGAAGAATGGAAGAAAGGAAGAAAGAAAGAAAGAAAAGAAGAAAAGAAAGGAAAGAAAAGGAGAAAAAATTGAGAATACATTAATCCAGATATGCGAAAGTAAATTGTCACAGCATTTTTCTGTTTTTATACATAGAAAATTATTCTAATTTTTTTCGATAATTTTGTCCTGAAAATGGAGCGATAGCACGGAGAAGTTCCTGCTCCTCTACCAAATATTCGAAATTTCATATTTTGTAATGGTTTTAAATATAGCCCATTTTAAGAGCATTATAGAAATCGGAAATTACTTAATATTGTTTTAAACACAACAACTAAAATCACTGTTATATACCGACCATTCATAATTACGAATAATTCAATAGGATTATAACTACAAACGGAAGAATCTTCAATTTCAGAACATAACTGTATCAGCGCCATTAATATACAATTAAAACATTCAGCGCGGAAAGTACATGAAAAAAAATAGTATATCCTTGATTATTTGTTCGATTCTTTTCGTCTATGTGCAATAATCAATCATACAGTGTACAAAATTTGGATAAAAAAATATCCTTAGTTGATTATGTCTACTAATTCTTCTAACCCATTCTCTTAATATATTATTTATTTGTCTTGAACACTCAAAAGAGGTGTCAATTACCACAGGAAGATAAAGCTATATGCACTCCCGTTAGCAAAACAAAGGAATGTCTCTGTAAACCCCTCGAGATGAGGGTCATTGAACCAGAAGTGTAGTATGGCTGTTGCAAAATAATTTTATTTGCAAATTTGAACATAACTTGTAAATCGTATAAACAAAATAATAAATAATTACGTTTGTATTAGAGGTGAATATGTTATTAAAGATCTATTAACATAAAACGCAGTCGACCTGAGTAGCTGCGATGGTGAAGGCAGGTACGCCTTGACCGGGCCAGTTGACCGTTTCCGAAGTGTTGCGGGTTCGAGTACCGACAAAGACATGGATGTTCGCTGGCGTTTGGTGGCAAGGTGGGCTTCTCCCAACTACCATGCGATACCTTTCAATCTTCATCTGCAAAGTAACTTCATTATCTGTGTACGTCTTCTAGAATTCAATGGGAAATATAGTTTATTCAAATTATCGTTCTCCATGTTGTCTGGGCAGGAAGTATTATTCCTTCACGAAGGACACGATGAGGAATAAGACCCAAAATCTATAGCGGATTTGTTCTTGAAAATATACTTTAATATATCGGATACTTTATTCGAATCCCAGAAAGACTTGGATGAAGTGTGTTGTGGCATGGTGCGGCTCCCCCCTTACACCATGTATCACCGTTCAAAGTCCCTTCCTTACCATAAGACATAAGTAGATAGACGAACAGGCAGAAAGACAGACAGACGGACAGCCAGACAGAAAGACTGACACAAAGACAGACGGACAGAAAGACGGACGGACAGACAGACAGAAAGACAATACACAGAAAGCCGGATGGACAGACAGACGGGCAGACCGACAGACGGGCAGACCGACAGACGGGCAGACCGACAGACGGGCAGACCGACAGACCGACAGACGGGCAGACCGACAGACGGGCAGACCGACAGACGGGCAGACCGACAGACAGACGGACAGACAGACGGACAGACAGACGGACAGACAGACGGACAGACAATGGACAGACAGACGGACAGACAGACGGAAGGAAAAAACAGACATTTTTTTAATATAAGTGTCAACATTATTTTTAAATAATGTAAGTTTTATACCAGGAATGACCTTCCAGGGGTTTGGAGTGTATGTGACATGGTGGGTTTTTTCAGTCGTCTGGAAAATATTTTTATAGAGTGTTGAAGAATTGTGGTTTTAATTTTGATAGTCTTGTAGATACTGAATTACGAATAGACGTGTTAGTAAAATATTTAGGCCTCTCCTTCAGTACCTATTTGCAAAATAAAAAGCATATATATATATATATATATATATATATATATATATATATATATATATATATATACAGAGAGAGAGAGAGAATTCATTACGAGATATCATTACGAGTTTATCATTCAGAACAGTCACACGTGATATTGTACATCAAAGATCCCATAAACCAAAAAAAAATTGTTCTGCCGGCGCCGTGTGCTGTAGTGTCAACATCACACATCATCTCAACGTTTCACAATTCTTATCAACGAAAAAGTCAAAGGAGGATTGTTTATGAGGAGTAATTTTCACGAATGATTTGCATTTACATGTTATTCTCCATACCCCTAGGAGATCAACATCATTTCAGTTTACGCATTCGTATAAAAATATAAAAGAAGATATCGATGTAGTAATATAGTTTGAAAGATGTATTTTTAAAACGATGAAGAAACGCTGTTTATTTTGGTACACATGGAAAATTGATCTGAATCAAAACGTTAAATAATCGATTTGTAAAGGTACCACAACCAACAACAAATTTCGATTTGAATCGCATCACACGCTCAATTATTTTGAAATAAAACCCCAAAATAAACTTATCTTCTCGAAACTTAAAAATGTCAATTCCTGGGAACGACAAAGCAACAGGTTATAAAATTACGCGAGTTGTTCCAGGTTGTGGATCCCAAGTTAATCCAATTGTTTCGCTCTATAGCGCAAAAAACTATTTTCAAACAAATTACTGTTTGTATATAATCGTATAAGACAAACCATTTACTCCAGTCGATTAGACGGATGCCAACGATTACACTGAGAATTATTGACATCGTTGAAAAGTAAAGCATCAAGTTTGCTGCGAATCTTATGAAAATGCGGACGAAACGCGGAGTGAGAAATTCGGGCGAAAAAACGTGACAAACACATGAAATTCTAGAAATGAATCATAATTTGGTATGTTTTCATTGCTATTCCTTGAAACGGTTATTTTACAAATTATGTATCTGCGGCGTCTGCTCCGTTTGGTCCGACGATGGATTTGAGACCACTCGCGGATCTTTGAATGGATCGAAGAATGTGAGGAATTGCCTGATGTTTGAATTTATCTCCTTCTGCGGTAGCTTCAAAAGGGTCATTGTTTTGAATTTTCGAACATGATCTGAGCTCCCCAATACAGATTCCAAATACTGGAGATTTCGTATGTAGTCAAACACCTGAGCTTACACACATAGTTGTCAGTTGGAACCCACGAACTCGCAGAAGTAGTCTACCTCACTGGAGGTAGACAGAAATGGAAGTTCAGTGAGGTACACGTACCTTATAAGGTAATTCCAACAATTATGTAACAAAACATTTTATTTATATTAATTTCATTAGTTATACATCCACGGTCAATATCAAACACTAGGCACTTCCAAAAAAAAAAAAAAAAAGATTTCTGCTTCGAAAACAAACGCGGCAACACAAATTATCAAGAGGAATCAACCTAATATGAATTAATCAGATGGTGTCACACCTAAAATCTAAAATTACAATGTGCGGGGAACAAGAAAATATTATGTATGTCAATTCGGTATGTAATAAAAATTTACATTCCACTTTCAGCGGAGGTGGATGCAATACGGCTAATTAATACGTTGTTAAATGAAGATCTTCTCTAGCTTTTACAAAAAGAAAATACCGATGATCCCAAAGATGTTGGCTACGCTCATAAAAAAATAGGATTGAAATATCTACATAAGTAGAATTAAGATACCTAATTAACTATTTTGATGTAAATGTTGTTGTTTTGTTTTTTTCTAATTCATAATTTGCTCAACTTCATTGACGGCAAAAATGTTTATATATTGTAAAGAATGCTTTCCATACAGATAATTACTCATGCATAATATTTAAAGCAGTTTAAGCATATCCCATTCAAAGCTAAGGACACCATACCCTCAGTCAAAACAAGTCTTGCCAAGATACAATTGCCTTCCAACTCATCTATATAGTATTTTAACTTACGTCCACTTACCTCATTGAATGAGATGAAAAAAACACTGGCATAACTCAGGAGGAATTTTGTAAGTTATCGAAACCGAAAAAAAGATTTTGGACGCACGCCTACACTACAAAACTCCGCGACACTCGCATCAAGATATACCAACACTCGCAGGCACAGGCGGTCTACTCGTTTAAGCGCCATACGCGGTCCTGGCGGCACAGAACAGAAGCCTAACGCTGCAAACACGCTGCGATAGTATACGTCCTGCCACCTATTGGCACGAAAGTGAAACTGTCCGCGGGTTCTTCAAACCTCTCAGCAATAAGTATTTTAAAATGTATTATTTATTCAGGATAAAATTCAAATTAATTTTAGTTTCATATTTGCTGCGTGTTTACAGAAACAAAGACGCTATGCTCAATGTATTTAACTAAGTTGGGATAACACGATTCATGAGTGTCGTAGGCACACTTCATTTGTCAATTTCACATAATTTGACTTGAAGAGGCCCTTAAGAGAGAAAGCCAAAACGTCTCTATTGATTTATGATGTAATATTTTAATACATTTTGTTTTCATGATCGTCTAAACAGTTCAAAATGATCGTTTAGTAGCTTAAATAATACTAAGGTTTGGAAGCTGGTTTGCGAACGAGTTTCGTTTCCGATTCAGGTAGTTCTCGACGCTTGGAAGAAGAAAACAGCGACATCCTTGTCTGCATTTCTTAATTGTTCACAAAGATTGTAAATAAGAGTGTTTTGGTGTTGTACTTACGTTTTCCCGCTTTCAAGGCTTTTCCCTTGGCATCTTTTTCGCGCTTTGCTGTTATGAAGAAACCTTTTGGTACGAATATTTTCCTTGCTTATGGCTCACTCTTGTATTTACAATACTACATGGCCTTCTTCAAGAAAATTCTAAAATATAAGTTTAGGTTAATTAGTTACTTTGGTTACTGCAATAAGGAAAGTGAAATGTGGGTGAAATGACGGAGAGTGTATTGAATATCGGTCATCAGTAAGTAACTCTCATTAGAGCGATCATTCGTAACGGACTACCTTGCAGCACAAACCTTGCAGTACCAAATGAAGAAACTTTCTGTAGTCTGGTGTCAGTTTTCAGCCTGGTTTGGTTGAGACACTTGTTGATTTTATGAATATAATATCTAATTAGCATTCTTAATAAATTGTTACGATGAATTATTTATACGTTATTGTTTGTATTACTTGAGTCGTTCTCCAGGGCAACAACAGTCGTCGCTTATGCGTCTCTGACTGGGAGGTCCAAGGGCTCGAGTACCGACAGAGGCGAATTTTCGATACTATTTAAATAGCTAAGACAAATTCATCCACTCGCAGGAGAAGAATTCTAGCGGCCAGCTATTCTGAACGATAGTTCTCGGAACGATAGTTGACGGAGAGTGGTATCTTCGATCAATACCAGGCGAATGCTAGTATCCTAACAAACGGGTCACGGACCGCGCGCGTTCTTTCTTTTCCCATTTGTGTCCTCTCTTCCCCCCTCACCCACTCACACATTTATGTACTTGGCGACACCACTAAACATGCCGAAGGTCCAGTCTGGTCCGTATAGCTTATCGCGTCTGGGGCGCTGCTCCACTAGGAAAGATATCTAGAGGGAAAAATCCCGCATTTCGACTTGCAGGTCGGTGCAGGAACTTATATTCCAGTACAGCAAGAACACCGCCACCTTCTGGCTATAACACGAACTACACTCAGCACTAATTTCTAAAGTAGTTCTCGCGCCCGGTACAAGAAATACTCGCTGATGTGTCGTTCCCTGTTTGAGCGAATAAGGGGTGTAATAATTTTGTCAGTCGTTTAGACGGGGTGGGGTTCTTTTCCAAGGCGCAAGCGCGTCCAGGCGCGCCGAGGATTGGCCGCCTTCAGTAAAACCTCCGCCCTCGTAAAACCGTTTGTTAAGGAGGAGCTAGTGTACTAACCCAACACCACTAGGGCCGGCGAACACACTAAATATATGAACGTACGTATATTTATGCGTATATGTCTACGCACTAAAACTCGGGAGAGATGGCTCGGAGCATCACCTGATGTCACTGCGGTGCCTATGACCGGGAGAATCAAGGTTCGAGTCCCGATGGTGGCAGGATTTTCAGTTAGCTAGGTCGAGTTCAGGCGCTGTCTGGAGGAGAATACTTGCGGCCGGCTGTGATAGGTAGTTTCTCCAGTAAACACAAAGCGAATGTCGGAGCAGTATCCTAACAAATGGGCCACGGACTGTGCGCGTTCTTTCTTTCCTTTTCCATGTCCTATCCTGATCCTCTTACACACACGCTTACACTAGCGTGCACTATACTAGCACACATGTCGGGAGGCCGGTCGGGAGCTTAGAGCTTGTCCAGGCAGAGGCGGTGCCACGCTGGTGGGAGATACATGGGTGAGGAAAACCCCGCTAGCTGACGGTAGGGCGGCGCCGGATCTTGCCATCCAGCGTAATTAGATTACCAATATCTCTCGAGCAAAAACCATTCATTACACTTACAGGACTAATGAACTCAGCCTTTCACGCTCCGGGAATCTCTAACAATCAATCAAACACTAAAACATTCTATTTATATATTAAGTGTGATTAAAAAGTGCCTCAACTATTGCATACTCGTATATCTAATTCGATTTCATTTTGTTCTCATTCATGATCATTCTCATGCGATTTCACATCGTTTGAATTATTTCCCCTGCAGTTTCTGGTTCCAGAGCAAGAGCAAAAACTGTATTTAATATAAAGGTTGTGATGCAAGATTTTCTGAGTCATCATATTTCACACGCCGAGTATAATGCATTATTTTTCCACTAATGTTGGTTGAGAGCGACTATAACATTTAAGACCGGACCATATGTAGTTTCAAAAGGCACTTCATGAATTCAAATCCACTCACATCCAGCAGATAACCCATGGACGAATTACTTTCTTGACTTTTTCTTCGCAGAAATAAACCCAATCTTTTTTGTTGCAAAAATGCAACCCTTATGACATACTTACAAACAAGTGTAGTTTTTTATAGTAGTTACTTTTATCTCAAATAAATATTGAATTATTTACATTTTCTGAAAGATTTAATTGAGAGAACACTTCTCTAAATAACAGTTCTCTATGCGGATGATACGAATATTGTTTGCAATTAAGAAACCGTAAATAGTACAAATTTCAGAAAATTTTAATTGGTTCCGTAATAACAAATTAATAGTTCATGAAAAGAAAAATGTTACAATGTAGTTTTCCATTTCAAATAAACAGCTCTGCACATCACTGAAAATGAACGGTGTGCCATTGATTGATGTTAAGGTAACAACATTTTTAGGTCTTTCAACTCAGTCAAAACTTAAATGGAACGTCCATTTGAATGAAGTTCTTTATGCTTGTTTACGCACGCACGTGGTCTGCAACCACCTGCGCCGCCCCCTCCCCTCTTCGCTCGGCCGCCGGGATATTTATTTATTTATTTATTATTTATTTATTTATTTATACTTTAATTTATTTATTAATTTTATTTATTACTTTATTTATTTATTTACTTATTTATTTATTTATTATTATTTTATTTATTTATTTACTTTACTTTTTCTATTTATTTATTTACTTTATTTATTATAATTCTATTATATATTTATTATTTATTTATTTATTTTATTTATTTATTTATTCTACTTCTATTTATTATTTATTTATTTATTTATTTATTTATTTATTTATTTATTTATTTACTATTTATTTATTTATTTATTTATTCTAATTTATTTATTCTATTTATTATTTATTTATTTATTTATTTATTTATTTCATTTATTTTATTTATTTATTTATTTATTTACTTATTTTATTTACTTTATTTATGTTATTTATTTATTTCCTTCACTTACTCCACTTTAAAAACAGCTGAACAAACTGTGTGTGATTGTCGCTACTGGCGCGTCTGAAGTTAATTAGAACTCTTACATTTACTCGTCCCAGAAGCAAACAAGACAGGCGACATCTCACCATTTGCTCGAGGATCAAGCGGAATCTGGGACGCGAAAACACCCTGCAATCACATGGCGGGAACCATAGACCCAGAAGCCTTGAAGCACACATACTTGTCTACCAGGCTTTGTACAGTTATACAATCCAAATGCGTATATTAATACATTCCGAATTTCATTGTTAAAATTAATATACTTTTCCCTCTTGGGTGCTCGGTGTAGTCCTCTAAATGATTAGCAAACACGTTGCTGCCCAGCGAAAGATTTTTACTTGGGACTTAAACTGTTGCTATTGATTTTTATCCGCTTTACATGTCATTTGCGCAAGGTTGTATATAATGCGACGTCTGTCATTATATGTGAACTTTTTGAGTGCGCAGCTGTTGATCAGTGCTCACCTGTCTTAACCATTATTACTACATTACGAGTGCTTGTAGTCATAGACACAAATGCGTTTGCTGAAATCAATCTCTCTCTGGG